CAAGTTCCCCCCGACATTACTTGAAAGTATACAAAACAGAAGTGTATAAAGAGGATCGCAACATGCCCAAGGCCACATGGCCGGCAGAGGGTAGCTTGGGACTTTCTGGGTCAACTTGACTCAGACCTTGAGTGAAGTTTCAATTTTGTAGCTGTGGTGATAGACGGAAGAAGACCTCCACCACGGATTCCTGGTTGTCTACTCTTTGAGGCATGTGGATGAAATGTCAAATTCAACTACAAAAAGCCTTTTCAAGTATGTTGATGCACCCTCATAGGGTGGCCCCTCACTACTGTTCTCTGAGAGGCTAATTCCGCATCCCTGTCAATACCCTCTGTGTTGCCAGCAATGAAATATCATATGACCAAATGTTACATCCTTTCCGCAAACTCCTGGTAAATCCTCGGTGTCACTTCATTCTTTCACCCAAACCTAGATTTCTAGAGAAATGAACAGTACCATTAAAGCCATAAGCCAAACAGGACAGTCAGGCTAGGCTTCTGAGTTTGGGCTGATTCTGCTGGCTTTCAGCTAAGTAGACCATAGAATTTCGGAGGAATGATCTGCCATCTCCAAACTGGGAATGACGTGTAAGAGGGGCCTAGCCTGTGACCTCTACAGTGAGATCCACAATGTGCCCACGGCACTCCTGTGCTGTTTTCAGTCATGGTTTTTTGTTTGTTTGTTTGTTTTGGTGGGAAGAAATCTATGAGTCACACAATATTCTGCATTAAACAGCAATCCTGCTCCGTAAGTCTAAGTTTCTTTCAAGCCCTTACTTGGTCAAGGTCTCCATCCCTGCTGGGAATAATCGCTTCCCAATATCACACATGTTTGAAAAATAAGGGTTGGACATTAGCAAGGTCCTAGGAAAAGCCAGAAGCAGGACTCAATGGGCCTCTAGTGCTGTTTCTAGACACTGGTTTCACAATTTGCTGTGGGACTCACCAGCTCTGTTGAATTCAGGAATCACCTAACAGGAGGAATAAAGCCCCCAGGGACAGCCCTATACATTCTCTAGCCATTTGTGAATTTGTACTTCTAGAAAGAGCCACAGTTGGTTCATATTTGATAAAGGAGAATGGAATAAATTACAAAGCTCAGCCAAGAGCCCTGCTTTATGACCAGGGCAGGGCGAGTGGGAGACGGCTGCATCATCAGGGAGATGCTTCCACGCTAACTCAGGATTTTAAAGTGGCTCAAGCTTAAGGCTCCTGTTCCCTTATTTGAAAGGGGCTGGGGGGCGGGGAGGAAGAGGCAGTGGTGGGGAGGAGAGTGATCAAAATGAGTCAGGTCAAATCCAGATGCCAAGAATTCAACCCACATCACCACATGGGGAGCCAGGACCCAAGATCCTGAGCTGCCCCTTGTTGTCCTTCTGGGGTGCCCTTTGGCAGGAGGCTGGGCTGGAAAGAGAGAGCCAGGACTCCAATCTGGGTACTCTGCAGAGCTTTAGATATTCCAAGCAGGCACCACCCCTCCATTTTGCAACCTTGAGATGAAACAGGCTGCAGGCATGTCAGCCTTGGGGTCCCTGAATCCAGGCATGTCAGCCTTGGGGTTGCCACCATTGCAAAGTTCTCAGGCTGCACACATTCTAAGTGCTTGTAGGGTTTTCGACTCTAAGTACGGAAGCAGCCTCAATTCTTGTCTTGCAGGAAAGAATTTTCATGAAAAAAGAATTGAGTTTTAAAGCAAGATTTATTAGAAAAGCTGAGGAAAGGAACTCCTGTCTTAGTGACAGGAGGGGGCGTTGAGACAGGAAGGACCTGTACCTCCTGCCATAGTAGCAGGAGGAGGAAATACCCTCCATCTTTTAAAGGCTCACCTCAAAGATGTTTGTCCATAAACAAAAGAGAATTCCTGCTTTCATGGTACCTTGCCCTGGGACAAAAGGCCCAGAAAGGTGTCACCGGCAAAACTACCCCTTTGGTAATGTCCAGAGAAGCTGACACTTTAGGTGGGGAATTGGTATATTAATGTCACCCTTGTCCCTTGGGGAAGCGTATTCTGGTGAAGTTATATTTGAGGAAAAAAAATGATGACTGGGGTGGAAGGGGGGGGGGGCGCCAGAATACCGTAACTGCCTACTATCCAGTCCGACTTCTCTCTCATAAGCACACACAGCTGTTCCCTATCCCATCATCTGCGGACACATACATATCCCCTGAACTGGAAACAACAGCATGTCAGAAATCAGCATTGTCGTGGGAGGCTCTCAGATTGTCCAGTTCCTACAAGCTCCTTTTTGAGCATGAGTCACATGACACTTAGTTAGGAACTAAGTAAAGGGTGGTACTCATAGCTGTGTCAGGCTGCCTTTTTTTTTTTCTGCTGACAAATTGTTCTTGGACCTCGGATGTCAATAGAACAAAACTCCTTAGCTGTACCCTCAAAGATTGCACAACTGAAGGCTGCCAGCCCCATATCACCCACTTGAGGAAATCTCACAGCAGAGGAAGGTGGGTGTAGAGCACAGCAGTCTTTTGATGTGGCTGCAGAATGTTGCTACCTTCTATTTCCCAATCCAAAAGTAAATTGAAAATCTGTAGCTGATGCTCTTTGTTCCTTTCAGAACCTCTTTCCAGAGCTGTGCACCTCACCTTTTCAGGGGACTCTGACAATCTCTGGATTTGCTTTATTTCATGAATGTCACCACTGGAACCTCAAGTGACTCACAAAGCCCTACCAGCTTCCTATCACTAACTTCGCTGTGAGACTTTGGGTAGCAAGCAAGCCAGGTGCCTGGTTGCCAATCTGTAAGACAGACTGTAAGGACCAAATGAGTTAGTAAAGTAATACAGTCTTTCCATCCACATGTTGACCACTAGTGTATGAATTCATGAGGGAGAGCCCTCAACAGGAGGTGAAAACAGCATTTCTTAAGCGCCAGTCTCCCAGCTCCGGAGCCTTCACAGCCTTGGGGTCTTCACTCTCGAATCTGTCCTGCCTCCGAATGTCACTTAAGTCTCAACACAAATTTTGAAGACTCAGTGGAAAGAGTATATATATACTCACTCACTTCCTTTTTCAATGTGGACGACTATACTCCAAAACTTCCATGGAAAAGGGGGAATTAAAAGATAGTTTTGTTCTGGGGCACATATTTTTGACAAACACGCACAAGTTCTTTCATAATGTGTTGTTGTGCCAGATTTTGAAATCCCCAGAAAAATCATCAAGTCTGAAGTCGGTGCTAAGAAATAAAGGTGGTTTACTCAGGTTAACCTAGGTCTCCCAGCCACAGAGCTGGGCGGGGGAGGGGCCATTGCAGCTGTGGTTGCTGCAGGATCCGCAGGGAGGGCAAAACAGAAGGAGAGGAGAGGGAGCGAGCCCCCGGTTGGTTGAACAGCCCAGTGTTCTTATGCATTTTAGGCTATCAATTATACAGTCATGATTTAGCAGGCTTCTATTGGTGGGTTTGAGGCAAGCAACTTTCAAAAGGTACAAATCGATGAGCTAGATGAGCTTTGGGCGGTGGATCTTATCAAACACCAGGTACCTCCTTCTTGAGGAGTGGTCTGCCTACGTGACCTGCCAGGTGTCCTGACCTGCCAGGTGTCCTGCCGGGTGTCACGTAGACTATCAGGCCTGGAATTCACATAGCCCCCAGCCAAGCAATTAAGGCAGAATCATAAAAGCAGAAAACATCTAGGTTCTTAAGTGTCTCCCATGAAAAATTTTGTAAATCTTTCCCAGTCACTGCTACCTGGGCACTGGCTATAAAGTCCCAAACATCTGGTTGTCTTTCTGCAGGATGTAGGTGTTAGGCAGTACCTCAAGAAGTCTAGGTGCGCTCCAGGCTTCCTTTCTGCTCCCACGGTTTTATAGAATCAGTGTCCCATGCCTGCCATTCATCACTGCCCCTCCACAAGGAAGTCGCTCAGAATCTGCCCATCCCATTCCCTTTGCATTTCCCAAGGAAGAATCCAACCACAGAGCCCGGAGCGAGTTATGTGTCGCAGTCTGGGACTGGAAATGCGACACATCTTGCAGCAAAGAAAAGTTAAAAAAAAAAAAAAAAAAAGAAAACCACGAGGAAGAATCCCAAGATTCTTTAAGTCTGAGGACGCCGTACGGTACAGAAATAAATCTCAGGAAAGGGGATGCGACTCGCGAGTGGTCCCCAAAAGGGAGCGCGAGAAAGCCCTACACCCTTCCCCCCCTCTCCCCTTCCGCGATTATAACCCTACAAACTTGAGGAAACTTCAGTGAAACAGCCACCTCCGGGAGCGCCCAGGGACCGCAAAGCACGCATTCCAAGGAAAGCAGAGTTGTGGGTCGCCAGGTTTCCGCGAACCCAGCGCGGTCTTTCTACCCCTAAACCCCAAACTCCACCCTAGTCCGAGGCTCGGGCTAGCCGTGCAAGGAACCCAACCTAATGCAGCCTGACTGGTCAGCGAGGGGACAGCCTTCCGGCGAGGGGACAGGGCCCTCGGGTCGGGCCGGGACTCACCGCAGTCCTTGAACCGCACCGGCTCGGCCTGGACCGCGGCACCGAGCACCAGGAGCAAGAACGCAGCCGACAGGAAACCCATCGTGGATCCTGTGATTCCAGGCTCGAGGAAGTAAGCAGTGGTCGCCGCGGTCACAAGATAAACCTGACGGGGCGGACCGGGGGGAGGAGCCCTGTCAGGCGACTGGTCATTAGCGACGACGGCCGAGGCCCGCCCGCGCTTGGGTCCCGGGAGCCAGGCCCCGCTCGTTGGGTGCCAGGCCCTCGCTGTCCCGCCCACCCGACCGGCTGCTAGAGGCCAGCTCCGCCCTGCCCCGCTCCGCCCTGCCCCGCTCCGCCTTGCTCCATCTCCTCCCCTCAGTGCTCCGCCCCGTCGGTCTTGGAGCGTCCCCGCTTTCGCAACCGGGAATATCTCTAAGCCAATCCAATCCCTTCTTCTCTTTCACGACCCAATAGGCACGCCTGGAGGGCGGGGTTTCAGGAAAGCTCCCGCCTCCGAGACCCGGGGGGAGGCGGGGATAAGGACGGCGCGAGGGGCGGACTTTGGGGGGGTAAGATGGCGGCCGCCCGGGGGTTGTCCCTAACTGCCTGGACGCTGAGAACTGTCGCCCGCTGGCCGAGGGACAGGTACTAAGACTGCGGAAGGGCAATTGAGGGAAAGTGGGATGGTCAGGGTGTGGCGTGAGGCTGTGCAGGCGGAGGTCGCCGGTCGACTCCGTACGGGAGTCGTCAGGTGTCCTTCTGTTCCCAGACTCTGTTTGCCTTGCGCCGCAGGCTTCTCGCGGCCTCTCCGGGACTTGAGGCGCGTCGGGTAGCGTCGTCCTCGGGCGCCGAGGCTGGCGAAGGGCAGATCCACCTCACCGACAGCTGCGTCCAGGTACGAGGTGGCTCGCAAGCTCCGGGGAACCTCCTTTCACCCATCCTTCCTCCACGGGCCGGCCTCCTGGATTTCCCTCCTCCCTGCTTTTCAGAGGCTTCTGGAGATCACGGAAGGGTCAGAGTTCCTCCGATTGGAGGTGGAGGGAGGTGGATGCTCCGGATTCCAATACAAGTTTTCGCTGGACACTGTAATCAATCCCGATGACAGGCAAGGAGACAGCCCGGGGGCCGGAGCCGGATGGAGGGGAGCGGGGCACTTGAGCGTGTCCAGTGTATTTTGAGGGTTTAATTTGATCCAATATAGTTAATTTCTAAGGGGACGATTGACTTTCCTAGTTTTCTAGGTTAGTAGAGGGTCAGGCTGGGCTCCGGGATTCCAAGGCTTAAATAGAATTCACCATTTCTCCCTGTTCTTCATTGACATTTCTTTAGCCTGAAGGAATGTCAGCATCTCTTGTGGAGAAGGTCGTGAGGGATTAACCCCTCACCGCTCCCTGCTGGCTTTTCAGGGTGTTTGAACAGGGCGGAGCCAGAGTGGTGGTGGACTCAGAGAGCTTGACCTTCGTGAAAGGCGCCCAGGTGGACTTCAGCCAGGAACTGATCCGAAGCTCATTTCAAGTGTTGAACAACCCTCAGGCACAGCAAGGCTGTTCATGCGGGTCGTCCTTCTCCGTGAAACTCTGAGTGGGATATGGGTGGCTCTAACCACCTTCTCCCCTCTGCCCCCAAGTGTCAATATGAGGAACCCGGGATTGGTAGTAGATCCTTCTAATCATGTCCCGCTCCCAATTTTTATTTCCTTTAGTGGAGCCCACACGGATATTGTGTTTTGCCACCGTTATTTCAGAATGTGAAGTCTTTACTCGTTGGCTCCCTCCTCGCTACCTGACACAGACCCACAGTGACCGCAGATTTAGTCACTGGTTGAGAACAGGATAACGAATAGAGTCCTTCACCATTGGAAATCATTTCTCTGCGTTTTCCGAGCTGTTTGTGTATATATATATATATGTACATAAAATCCTGCATAAAATCTCATTTGAAAGAAAGTCCTCATCTACTAGTGTTTTGGACTTAGGGTTGTAAGTTGGGCAGCTTGACTGTTCTCTTCCTTCCAAAATGAGTCCCCTTCTGCGCTTCCCATGTGATAGGACAGATGCGCTTCACTGTCTACTAGGAGTCATGAAATGAAGAGCTCATCACCCAGGGAACCTGCCTGACCTCCCTCTATTGGCTGAATTATTTGAAGAGCTCTTCCCCACTGTATACTCAAAGAACATGTCAAGGTTCAGCAACTGAATAGTTGTTAAAATATGCTGATTCACCTATCTTATGGTATAGGCTGACTGGTTTTTACATGGTAGTGAGTAGTCGCTTGGTTGGAATAGATAATAAATATGTAGGGACCTGTTTTTAGATAGGGTTACTGGATGACATGCAGGATGCTCAGGAAATTTGAATTTCAGATGAACAATTTAGTGTAGGTTAATAAAATATGCTAGAAATTATTTATTGATTTTCTGAAATTCAAATTTAACTGAATATCTTATATATTTTTAAAAAATATTTTCATGAGAGCAACAGGGAGAGATATTCTGTCTCCTGGTTTGCTCCCTAAATGTCTTGAACAGCCAAGGCTGGGTCAGACCGAAACCAGGTATGCCACATTCCATTCCTGTAGCCCACGCGAATGGCAGGGGTCCAGGCTCTTGAGCCATCATCCGCTTCTGCTGCATCCCAGGATGATTGGCAGGAAGCTGGATTGGAAGCAGAGATGCTGGGACTCATGGCGTGTGAATCTCGGAGACTGTGGTTTAACCCATTCTGCCATGATATCTGCCCCAACATCCTGTATTTTTGCTTTTACTACCTGACAACCCTATTTTAGGGTCACTAAAAGAAAAGCTTTTAAACCATAAAGATTTTTCGTTATTATTTTATTTTGATGATCTTTTTTTATTTGAAAGGAAAAAAAGGTTTTTTTGATGATCTTTACATAGTTGATTAGGCACAAAGGGTCAAGGGCTACAGGAAAGCGGGTAAGACCATCGTTTCCACATTCTCCTTTAATGATTTATTTGAAAGACTCCCACTGGCCCATTCCTCAAACAGCTAAGACTGGGTCAGACTGAAGCTTGGAACCTGAAGCTCAGTCTGGATCTTCAAGTGGGTGGTGGGAACTGCAACACTTGAGCCCTCGCCTGCTGCCTCTGCTGGGGTTCATCAGGAAGACTAGTAATCTTGCATGCACCGGGATCCCATATGGCCACCAGTTCATGTCTTGGAGGCCCTGCTTCCCTTCCATCCAGCTCCGTGCTTGTGGTCTGGGAAAGCAGTTGAGGGCGGCCCAAAGCCTTGGGACCCTGCACGCGTGTGGGAGACCCAGAGGAAGCTCTTGGCTCCTGGCTTCAGATCAGCTCAGCTCTGGCCGTTGCAGCCACTTGGGGATTAGATCACTGAATGGAAGATCTTCCTCTCTGTCTCTCCTTTCTGAATATCTGGCCAGTAAAAATAAATAAATCTCTTAAAAAACGCCACATGGCTGCTGAGTGGATGTTTACCTCAAGAAATTATAAAATACTTATCATTTGGTCTTAATTACAAGTTACAGTAAAACAAATATATAAAGAAGGGAAGCATTTAAGCAGTTTGTGGCCAGTAGCTGTATTTTTAAAATACTTTATTTTTTGAATAGATTATACATGTTACAACATAATAAAAACGATAAAACACACACACAAAAACGGATGCAGTGAAATTTCCCAGTCCATACCTATCCATCCTACAATCCTTCCTCATAACCATCATTCTTTCTAAGAATTTATTTATCCCATAGATAGAATATGAAATAACAAATACATAAGAATATTCATTACAGCTTATATATATATATATAATAGCAGAAGATAGGAGAACGTAGGAGCTGACTTGGGACTGTTGAAATAAATTACTATGAATGCATGCAGTGAAACCATAGACAGCACTAAAATAGAACTAGGTATAAATACAAAGTGTGGAAAAAACAAACTGCACAGCAGCAAGCGTGGTGCACTATCTGTGTTTGCAGTAAGAGGCAGTGTGTGTAAGGTGGGTGTTATTTCTGGAGGGACCAGCAGGAAGATGAAGGTTGAGAAGACAGCAACAGCAGGGTGTTTGGGGTATGAAGTTTTGTGGATGAGGGGTTATAAGACACAATGACCAGGAAGAGATTATGGCTATCCACTTCCCTTGCTGCTTTCTTGAGACAGTATGCAGTGACATTTGCTACGCACTGTTACTGAACCTCCTTTTCTGCTAGGGTCTATTTTTAGTTAGATTCAGGCATTTAGAGTTACTTTTTCTCTTAAGGTTTGGTAGCATTGAAATGTTTCTAATCTTTTAGAATTGATGTTGTAATGTTACCTCCTACATATGTTATTTCACACTTGACAAGAACGTATCTGAAGGTGCAGATTCCTAGAGGAATTACTAAATCAGAGAGTGCCTTTATGCTTTGGCAAGACCTTGTTCTGGCACATTCCTTACGTGTGGTCTCTCCTCGCCTCAGCTGCTGCAAGGGTGCCCATTTCCCTTGTGCTGCCAGCCAGGAGTGGCAACCAGCTTTGATTTCTGCCAGTCTCGCAATTTAAAAAGATGATCTCAGTTGGTTTCAAGTTGCATGTCTTTTTATTATGAATGAGATAGTAGTTAATGTGTTTAAGAGCCGTTTATTTTTGTCTGCCAGAAACATTCCAACAAATATAATGACCTAGAGCAAATCACTCAAGCATTCCGGGTCTTGGTTGCCACACCTGTACTCTGGGAATAAAGAGGGAGTGTGGAACAACAGATTTCTGTACAAGAACCCAGCGCCATGCAAGGCACATGACAAACATTCAGTAAGTGACTGATGGCTGACGGGCAGAGCAGCAGGCAGTTCAGGGCAGATTAGGAAAGAGTGGCAGTCATCTCTTTGTCCCCAGTCACGTGGGCCTTGCCTTGTCCATTTCCATTGCCAGTCATCAGAGGAGTGCTGGGAAAGCTTCCCAGTGTGTAGTAGCCAACAACGTTTTGCCATGGGAGCCCGTTGAGGATCAAAGGCTGTCATAAGGCTGGCAGGGGGGCTAGTCTCATCTCTGACATTTAGCCAACGTGGCAAAGAAATGTGGCCCAATACGAAAAGAAACCAGGAACAGAAGAAGCCGGATGTACACGTCTATCCCACCACAGTTCTGAGCTCCAGCTAGTCTGAGTGGGAAGGCTCTCTGCTCATAAACAGAGAGGGATGCCTCTGAACAAGGTCACTCTAGAAAACAGACCTTTTTATTATTGGCTCATCAAACTCGTGTTCACAGAAGGAGAGCCCAAAAGATGTATTTCCTGTGAGAAGCAGTGTGTGTTTAATAAAGGGCTAAGCTACGTACCACTGCACTGGCCCTGGCTGCTGGTGCACAGGGGCTATTCCTGGGTGGACCTGAAGTGACTGAGTAACTTTTTTAGACTCGTACAAAGCCCTGGCTCTCCATCCCTTATCTCCTTTTTCTTACCTCTCTAATACTGCTTCCTTAGGCTCTTGCTTGTCCTTATCTCTTAGACTCAATGAGCTGATACCAATCTGTCTTCTCTGAGGTGAGGAGCTCTTCTGGCCCTCTGTGCAACACAGGACCAGCTACAGGATGCAGATGTGGTAAGATCAGGGTCCCAGCCATACTGGCTGGGTGATGGTGATAGTTGTTGGGAGGGGGCATTGCAGTTGGGCAATGCCTTTCTTGTTCCATTAAGTCTGCAAGATCAACACCTGGCAGGTGCAGCCCTGGTCCCAGTTGTGGGACCATCAGTGTGGCACCTGGATCACGGCTGGACAGGGCTATCTGCCACATGAGGTCTCAGGTCCTTGCACATTTGCACAACGTGGAGTTGGTGAGGCTCATCCTCTGATAAACATCCCAGGGCAAGACCAGGACAGGTGGCACATTGGGCCTCGTGGACAGTGGCTGAAGCTGATGTGGAGCCAAGCAAGACATGGCAACAGGGAGGCAGTGATGGAAGCTCGCAGCCAGAGCCCAAGCTGGGAGAGATGAAAGCTGGTGAGGCTGACCGGGAGCTGAGCTGCTGGGCCCTGGCCTGACGTCGTCATCACAGTGGCTTCCCAGCTGGGAAAGCTTCCTTTGGGGGGTGCCCCACGTGCGGCTGGAGGCCATTTTCAGGCAACTGCCCACATGGACCCCTCACTGCTGCTCTTTGGCAGCACAGTGCGGGGGGCCTGCCTCAGCCACATAACCTGGGGAGCAGTGGCAGCGGTAGGAGCCCTCGGTGTTCTCACAATGACCATGGCCACAGAGCGCAGCAGGCCCGTTGAGGTCGTCACACTCATTCACATCTAAGAAGGAGGGAAGGAGGAGAGAGTTGGAGGGCACCCCCTGTTCTTCTGGCTACTAAGCCTAGGTTGTGTCCTGCAGTGGAATCCTAGGTGGGACAGCCAGAGGCTAATGTCACTGCCCCAAACCAAGTCCATTCAGGACAGAGAGTGGGGGCAGCGAGCTCCAGGGATGCCGTCTGGCCCTCACATTGGTTCTGGGGAAGAGTTTCCTCAGAAAGGGCTTTCCCATCCTAACATTCCACCTGTCTCTGCAGCTTTCTCACCTGCTGTGGGGAAGCCCCGCCAGGGGGCAGCAGTGGCTTTCCTAGCCATCCTCAGTTGAGTCATCCCTGTGGGCAGTGGGCCAGGAGGATAGCTCCATCCCTCTCAGCTTACCCACACAGGCCATGTGAGCTGCGTCCAGCTGGAAGCCCTCAAAGCAGTCGCAGGTGTAGCCTTCCCGCACGCGCACACAGCGGCCATTCTCACAGCCGTTCAGGATGCCACACTCCTCGGCCTGCAGCCCTTCGAAGCCAGCCTGGGGCTCTGGGAGGAGGGGGTGGGAAGAAAGGAAGCTGCGGCCTTGAGCCAGGATTCTAATCTCTCCCAGGCCTGGAACCCTCGCCTCTGACACCAAAGCTTGCCCTGGAGAACTCAGGCGGGGGTGGTGTGGTGGTGGTGGTGGTGATGGGTCAGCTGGGCTCATTTCAGGCATGGGGAGCAGGGTCCCACATGTAAGTGTGGATGTGGGCTGTCCCTGCTGTCTCAGTACCAGTCTCCACATTGGTTGGCCATTTCTCTGTGGTTGATGGGGACGGGGACTTTTGTCTAAAGCTTTGCATTGTTTTTATGTTGGGAGGCAGAGGGACCTCCCTCAACACTAAGCAAAGCTTCTACCAGATCTGCCTGGCCC